TCAAAACAAAATCTTAAAAAACTTAAAATGAAAAAGTGTTTAAAAGATCTTTGTGTATGGGTTTGTGAGTGTGTTGTGTGAGTGTATATATTGTGTGTGCGTGTGCGTGTGTTCGTGCGTGTGTGTATGTAGCGAATAGTGTATGTGCACGTAGCTCTGTGTTGTCTGGTTGAGTGGAAACAAATGTAGCCTTTTCAATAAAGGAACCAAGAATGTTCTGTTTTAACCATCTTTCAGAGCTTACCGAACTCATCCTGTGGAAGGTCAGTGAGGACATTTTACCAAGTAAAATCATGCCATTGGGACTGAAGCTCGGTCTACCTCATATACAGCTAGAGAGTCTGCTTGAAAGAAGCAACATGTACCAACTGAAAGAGACAACCTTCAAGATGCTCTACCAGTGGTACAATGACCAAATAGGTGACCTGTCCAAGTTCTTCTTCAGGGTTCTGACAACAGACGCTGGCTTTAAACAGGAACAAATCTTCAACTTGTGTAAGCTCCAAGGGTAGCGCTATAATACTGGAGAGAATGGATGTAGGACGAAATTCACTAAACAGGGAATGGGGGTAACAATTTCCTCTTCAGGGCGTTCCTAGAATGTAAAGAACATAATTATGTAGGACCAAGTTAATTTGCTATTAGAATATGAGAATGGGGTGACAAGTTTCTCTTGGTGATCCTGATGACTGACAAGGACCTATACTAGAAACAAGTCCTTAAATTGTGAAAGTCTAAGGGTAACTATAGATTATGTAGGAAGCATTTCTGAAATAATGTAAAGATGTAATAATGGATCAAATTTTGCTCAACAGAGAAAATGAGAATGGGGATGACATTTTGTTATGAATGCCATGTTGAATATTCACTCTGAAAACAAAGCTTCCTGCTTTGGTATTTAGATTAAAATTGAATTCATTGTGTTTTGGTTTCTTACAGTTTTTGAGGAGAAGCAGCACACATGCACAAGCCTGTCTGGAAGTTCTTTTCAGGATATTCAGTTGTTGGAAATAGCAGAGGAACTCCTCGTAGATAAGCTGATCCCATTTAGTCTTCGATTAGGTCTGACCTATGCAAAGATCTGCAGTATTCGAGAGGACAGCAACAATCATTCTGTAGATGTTCGCTACAACGTCATGGTGCAGTGGAAAAAGGAACAAACAGCTCAGATTGACCAGGTCGAAACTCTCGCCAGGATTCTGGAGGCCTGCCACGAGACAAGAAAAGCATACAAGATCCGTAAGTTTTCAGTAGATTCATGTTGTTCCAATGACTTTTTTTCTTTTTCAGAAGGGCAACGTCAATGTTATGTATTGGCGCATCTGCGCATGCGCAAAATCAGACAGTAACTTGATTAAACTACTTGAACACACACTCAGAATACCGGTCTCGTTTCATCTCCGTCTTGGCCTACTTTTAGTAAGATGTTATACTAAAGAGTAGGCAGTCTCATTAACTAGTTCATATATAACAACTGGCGACGAGGATTGTGGATTTCTTCCGTAGAAAGGGCAACTTTTGGAGCTCTCAGTGAGTTTCATCCGGAGGCGGTCGGGAGGAGTGGAGTCACTACAACGAACGCATGCATCACTACTTTGCTGCGAATGACATAGTAAGTGCCGAGAAGAAACTTTCGATATTTTTGAGTGTGTGTGGTGCTCCGATGTATAAACTATTGAATAGTTTGACATCTCCAAAGAAACCGGGAGATTGTACGTTTGATGAACTAATTAAGCTGATCTCGGATCACAAGGATCCCAAATCATCTTTTATTGTTCAACGGTTCAAGTTCAATAGTAGAGTGCGACAACAAGGAGAGTCGGTATCTGAATATGTGGCAGAGCTACGCCATATTGCCGAACATTGCAAATACGAGAGCACGCTGAAGGACATGCTAAGAGACCGTTTGGTTTGCGGTGTCAACGATGATCGCATCCAGCGACGTTTACTGGCCGAAGCAGACCTACCGTTCGAAAAAGCGTGGCAGCTCGCTACCGCCGTGGAACTGGCGGATAAGAATACGGCAGATTTGCGAGCGGCAGCCCCAAGCATCATAAACAAAGTTTGGAAAACCCCTGGCCGTTCAAACAAGGACACTTTCCCAGACAACCGGTCGCCTCACCAGAGATTATGCGATAGGTGTGGTCGAGCCACCAACCACCGAGCGTCCGACTTGTCCGGCTAAAGGCATGACATGTTATGGTTGCGGAAAAGTAGGACACCTTTCCCGAGCCTGTCACTCAAAACCAATCGACAAACAAAGAGAAGAACGATCTCAACAGCAGTTTCGCCGAGAACAGCCATATCGTCCACAAAAACAAAGAGCGTATAAGCTGGATGAGGGTGAAAGTGATGAAGAGCACACAGTGCAACACATTGGATCACTATTTTACGGAAATAGTGAGGGAAACAAATCGCCGCCATTAGAGCTTAGTCTCAACATCGCAGACACCAATGTGCGGTTCCAGCTGGAAACAGGAGCGTCAGTATCACTTATGAGTGAACACGAATTCAATGCTACTTGGACGCCAACAAACAGACCCAAAATCCAGAACTCAAAAACAATCCTACAGACATACACCAAGCAGAAAATAGAACTTAAAGGAGAATGCCACGTCAATGCAGTGTATGGCGATCAAAAGGCACAACCCAGCAAACACAAAACGTTTTTAGGACGTTTACAGAACGTTCTCATCAGGTTCCGTACGTCTTCGTCCTTTTCAGAACGTTGGCAGAACGTTTTTATCAGGTACAGTACGTCTTCGTCCTTATTAAACGTTTAGAAAACGTTTATATAACGTCTAAGTTGGGACCTTACATTTGCTGCAGAACTAGGTCTTTTGAAGACGTCCAGAAAACGTTTTTTGGACGTTACAAATTAAACGTCCTTGGGTAGGTCCTGTAAAACGTTAACAGAACGTTTTATTCAGACGTATTTTGTTGAATTGATTTTTTATGTCCAAATCGAGGAACGTCAAACCATATATTGTAGTAGGTCCATGGTCAAACTGATGCACATATGCTACTGTGGCGTAGCGATGGGGGGGGGGGGCACATGTCCCTGTGGCGTAGCGATGTAGGAGGGGGCACGTGCCCCCAATAATTTTGAATGAAATAAAATAAAACATAAAGTGACATCATTAGAAGATTTTTAAAAAATACTTAAGGAGTGCATCCCTCAAATAATGTGTGTCCCTTCCCCACCCCCCCCCCCCACCGCCCAATCAGTCCGACCGCGCTATAGCGCTACGCTATGCTCCATTCAACCACGTGTATAAAAAGTGCGTACGTACATGGTGGGGAGAGGGTCAATCGTACCCCGCCGGCGCGGCGTGGTCGCTCGCGATAGCTAGCTAGCTCCATCCGGCCAGAGATCTTGTTACCCATATTGCCGCGTTTTATGAACTGACGAATTGACTGCATGCATGCTGACTTCGAGATTTCAAATAATCTGCGTCATCTGTTAGACTGCGACAATGAGCATGATGAGGTAAGCGTTATTTTAACATTTTGATATCTGGAAGGAATTTAAGCTTTGTTTGAGTGATTTTGAGGCATGTAAAATGAAATAAAATATTGATTATTTGCATTAATTTAAGAATAAGAGCAGCTAGATCTCGTCTCATGTCGCATGTGCAGCAGGCACGCGGCCGTTGACATTGTCATTGCATTGACTGGTAATTGGGTATAGACCTGTGCATGCATGGCTCAGAACCGTATCCCTGTTTAACACTGGGAAATTGTGAAATTATCCAAAACGGTGACACCTAGACATAAATTTGAATTTTTATATTACAATTAGGGGAACTGTCACACCATACATGGCTGGGAGCATATGCTGCTCTGTACTGTAGTGCATGGGACTGGGACAGGACAAAAAAAGTTTGTCATTGATAGTACTAGTATAGGGTCTAGGCTAGATTAGATTCTAGATCTAGAGGTCTACTCATTTATTCACACAAAATTCTGATCTTCAATTCAGCAAAATCATAACTGGGCCTAAAAATGATACATACTAACATAGACCTAGATCTACATGTATAACCCCCATACAAATGGCAGTTACTAAAGTCAGCATAGGTCCTACTTTTTTTTTCTCTCTCTTTGTCTCTCTGAGTGATCTCTCTCTTTCTATCCATTCTTTTAATCTCATACTTCAATTCTAAGAAACAAACTCTGCTTTGTGCTCTTTATGCAGTTTAGTGCAATATATAGGTTTGCTCCCACACAGATTATTTTCCTCTCCCAGTTTAAAAACTCTTGCTGGTAGATAATATATTTGCTAGGGCTTTGACCGTCAACAACACTGGACACAGTGTTTGGGATTATATTGTCTGCCAGAGAGTTCCGTGTCCCTTCCCCTTTGTCTACTCCCTTTAATAGGACCCTTTTTTCTTTAGTGGTGTTTGCAGGTAGAATGTGTCCCTTCAGCCTCAGAATGTGGCTACTGTTAATCTCTGTACTTGGGAGAAGTATAGTTTAAAGTGGTTGTACTAAGAAAAGTCGAGCAATATGCTTTTCTATCTTTCAAAGTCTCCTAAGGCCTTGGTGATGGTGCTGTACGTACCACCGAGTCTAATAATATTAATACTTCTACAGTATGTTGTGATATTATTTAGGTTAGGTCATTTATCAAAGCTTGGTGTATTGTGTATTAGTTTACAGTCATGTTTTAGTTATTATTGAAGTAGTATAGCAAACTTATGTTTTAGAGTTCTAATTTCTGTCGTTGTCATTCCTAATTTAGGCAAAGACAAGGAGAGCATACATGTATGTTAACATTATTGTATGTGACGTCTATAATATGATGCAATAATTGAAATGCATACAATCAGTGATGTCGAACCTGTGTCTGCAAGGGTTTCAAATATTATAACGCTGTAAGTACGGATAATACCTTTAAGGCCATGTTGTAGAGACTATAGAGAGCTGGATGGGAGTATTGGGTTTGAGACAAAGGACTAGCATGGTCCTCCTATCACATGATGTTGGGTAACCAATAAGAGATCTAGTTGGAAGGAAGGGTGATGTGGGTCTGGACAGTTTAATCAAACTTTGACACTTGAAGTTTCCAGCTCATTCTCTGCCCAGCTGCCATTGCTTCGAACACTGCTCTGTATTCAATCTCCATATTGGACCATGTGCTTAAGTTCTTCAAGTTTCTCTAAGTTTTGAGAGAGTTTCTATATCAACTTCATTCTTCAAGTTTCTCTGAGTTTTGAGAGAGTTTGCTTTTTGTATTTGATTGGGCATTTCATCCAAATTCAACCTTAAAGTTGGTGATCATCCCAGATCCTGATTTTTTTATATTCAAGCAAGTGTTGGTTCTAATATTACTAGGTAAGAACACCATCTTTTTGCTGTCTGCTTTCATCATTCTGTTGTATGAAGTGTGTGTATAATCATGATGATATCTATATTTGCTTGTATGACTATGAGTGTAGTTTAAGACTGTAGCATACATTTTATAACTTTTTAATGCAGTTGTATGTTATAAAAGATTGATTATTTCTGCTGATCAAACAATTCAGTTAAATGAGAAAAGAGATCACATGTAAAATTATTTTGCAGTTAGTATACTGCATAGCATGCGAGCCCTATATAGCCCATGCTGAAAGATAATTGGCTTTTATTCAGGGCGATGGCTAATTACTCGTGCTAGAGGTCATTGAACGTTCACTAAATTTGGAGTTCCCTGAGTCTATATTTAAGCTAACTCCGGGAATCTCCGATGCCGAAGGCGTCGGAGCTTCGGGTTCGTGCATCAGAAAACATTCTAACAGCGGGTTGGGCGACATTATCTCAAAATATGCAAAGGGAGTAATTACAATTTTGACTTACTAGGTTGCTCGACTTCTCTGGGCATCTATCTATCAACTTGAAATTATAATTTGAAGAAGTCTTTGATGGGAAAAGGGGGCGATTCTTCCATGTTGTTTCGTCGATTCAACCGGCGAAGAGAAAGTACGCACTACCCGCGCATGCGTACTTAGTGCATACTTTCTCTATTGAATAAAATATAACAAAAGTACAATTATGATTTGTAACGGTCTTTCACCATTTGTTGACGATCTTGCAGATTTTGACTTATTTGAATCCAATAATTGTAGTAGCAGAAGAACATGACATGCACACAAGACCGACTAGGAAAAACCTAGAGGGCGCAGAGGTTTGATCACTAAAATTCTTCTCATTGGCAGAAAATAGACCCTAAAATGTGGGATCCAACTCAAGTCAAAGAACTTTTGATAGAGATTAACATATCAGATGTTCACAAATGCCGCTTCTAACAACTACAAAATATAAACAAAAAATATATCTTTTTAAATACAGATTTTTACAGAGTGAACATTAGAATGTAGATAGATAGAGTACGATGTTTATGTCAATTTTGCGTTGGTTTGATCCCCATAGCTACAGCCATCTCAAATTGAGAAGGAAAACTGAACAGTGACATCATTTTCAAGCCAAGAATAGAGTCAGTGCGAGCTGTCCGAGCAAATGTGTCAATTCAATGGCTGAGGTGCCTACTGCTAATGACAACTTACTCAATGACTGACGTCATCAAAACATTGGCCTTTTTAAGCGCAAATAGCCCTTGTTTTCGATTCTTGTGATTAGGTTTTGTTTCATCGTTGTAATCATTAGATATCGTGTTGGTATGGGAAAGTAAAAAAAGTATTAATCTTAATCTGTTAGCCCCTAGCTCTCTGCAGTGTATCTAGTAATGCATTATTCTCATATTTTGTGTTTTTCAATGAAATTCTTTAACATTTGATATGGAAAATGCGCTATATAAATGCATTATTATTTTCATTGCATTTTGTAAATAAGGTTCACCTTATACACAATAATCATTCACTCGGAGACTTTACGGAAATAAAGACAAATTCAATGAAGTAAGTCACACACCGTCCTACTTTATCTGGTTTGAAAGACCCCCAAAGTTATACTAAAATGAGGCTAGCAACCTGTCTAGTGTTTTTCACAGAAACTTTCAAAAAACCACTTCAGGGCAAAAAATAGTTGCGTATAAGTGTTTCACCTCATATTCGCGTGCATTTTTTTTTGCTAGATAACATTTTGGAAGCCACATTTTACATGGGTCCAAAGTCCAAACACTAAGAGAATCCATGTATTTTGTGTAATTTTTTTCTATCCATTTTCAGATCAATTGCGAAAATGTGTGCATCATGGTCAGGGAAGAATGATTACAATAGAAGATGGATGAGGGCTCACCGTGCATTGAGAACAAATACACCCAATGATTTAACTAGCAGTAGTGAGAGTGACATAGAAGCTCAAGTTGTAGAAGATGGGGCCGAAGATCTTTGTTTTGAACCAGATGGGGAAATAGCACTTAACAATCCAATTCAAGTTAACAATGATGATGATTTCAGTGATGTTGATGTTAGTGCTGATACAATATCTTCTGAATCAGAGAATGTAGATCCTCTCTTATTTACTGATTCAGAGAACGAACATGATTCAGATCACTCGGGTGTAGAGTCACACATGAATGTACGAGATGAGTTGGCAAAATGGGTGAATGACTACCAAGTAAAACATAACGCAGTTGATGATCTCCTAAAAATCTTGCAGAGACACGGACACCAAGATTTACCAGCCACAGCTCGTACATTAGTCCAAACTCCTAAAACTGTAGAGACAGACATTGCGTCAGGAATGGAATATGTATACCTGGGAGTTAGTAGACAAGTATCCAAAGCGTACAAGACATGTAAAGCAAACATTAAGGATGCTGACTCTATCCATCTTGCCATGAATATTGACGGAATTCCTCTCCACAAGGACACATCAAATAGTTTGTGGCCAATACTCTGCTCTATCACAAATGCAACACCTGTACATGTGTTTCCAGTGGCATCGACATATGGCCCTTCAAAACCTGAAAATCTTAATTTTCTTCAGGATACAGTTAGAGACTTGGGTGAAATTTTGACAAATGGTCTCTCTGTGGATGGGAAAGTTATCGAAGTGTACCTCATGTGCATTGTTTGTGATGCTCCTGCGAAAGCTATGGTGAAGGGTACCAAGCAGTATTCTGGTTACCATGGGTGTGACAAGTGTAACCAGAGGGGAGAATGGAAAGGCAGGATGACTTACCCCAGGATGAATAATTTGCAGAAGAGAACCGATGACTCTTTTCGGGCCAAACAAGATCCAGAACACCACAAAATGGATACGCCATTCTGTGAACTACCAATTGATATGGTCAAATGCTTTCCACTGGACTACATGCATCAATCATGCCTCGGCGTAATGAAGAAATTAATCCTCATTTGGATTCGAGGAAAAGGAAGATTACGGAACTACAAATTAGGTGCTGTGCAAGTACAAAGCATTAGTGAGAAACTTCTGGAGCTAAGGGATTGTATCACCAGTGATTTTCAACGAAAGCCTCGCCCTCTTTCCGAAATTGATAGATGGAAAGCAACAGAGCTACGTCAGTTTCTCCTATACACAGGAAAAATTTGCCTAAAAGGAGTATTGCCAGCAGCGTCGTACAATCTTTTCTTGGCTCTAAGTGTTGCTACTTGCATTTTAGTCAACCGGAAACTCTCTGAAGAGTACCACGCATTTGCAGAAGATCTACTGATTTACTTCAATGACCAGGGATGTGCCTTGTATGGTCAGGAGTTTCTTGTGTACAATGTCCACAGTATGGTACACTTGGCAGATGAAGCACGTGAATTCGGAGACTTGAACACTTGTGCTGCATTCCCTTTTGAGAATTACCTTCAGTACATGAAAAAACTAGTGAGATCTGGCAAACGGCCTATTGTCCAAATTGTCAAAAGACTATGTGAGGTTGAACAATTTCAAAGTGCTCCAACACAACCAAAAGCTCCAGTTGTATCTACGAAGAAACCCAATAATTGCTATATTCTTAGTGAATCTTCATGTTGTGAGGTACAAGAGGAAACCAACGAAACTAACGAAGATGATGATCAACTCTTCCTTTGTAGGATCTACACTAACAGTGAAAATGTATTCACTTCACCTTGTAATTCTAAGATAATTGGTGTACACAAAGTCAGCAAACGCAACACCAGAATGCAGATGGTCCCACATCGATCCCTGAAGAAGAAAGCATTGAAGTTTGAAGTTGAAAGAAATACATTCATCTTCATTGCATTGTTGCATTGCTGATCAAATAAATGGTAAATTTGTACACAAGGAAATGTACAGTCAATTTTGCTTAGGTGGACCTTTTTGGGACCAAGAAAATTTGTTTAACTTAAACGATGTACAGGGTATATTCTGTGCATCCATGGAGAAAAATTGGGGATTTTGATTTTGTTTGACTTACAGTAATTCGATTTTTTTTCGAATTCGAATTTGACGAAGATGACTGTAAACACGGTATATGTTCTCTCAAGATAACAACAAACCTCATACTTGCATAATTATAGCTGGGTTATCTTGACTATTGCATTCCTCCATATCTGAGTTAATGCATTTGAGGAGGCGCGATAGCTCAGTCGGTAAAGCAGTGGTTTGTGACCCGGGTTCGAATCCAAGTCGATGCGCTAGTGTCCTTAAAGGCATTAATCCTCATTACCTGGTCCCTCGGAGAGGACCTAAAGCCATCGGCCGTCTGGTTGCTTACTTACAAGCATTTTATGCTTCCTTGGCAGTCAGGTAAAATCACCATCACCATAGTGATCTGCAGTCTTGCAGAGCAGATAACGATATAACAGTGCATGAACATTTATCCAAAATGTAACTTCCACCTATCAATGCAGACTAAATCAAGAAATATTGTTTGTTCCTTAATGGTCATTTACTCTGCAGATGGGTGATTATGCAGTCGTGGTTTTTACAGATGAAGAAGCAGTCGCTTTGGTGTCTGCATCATGGATCGTACAGGAAGAAGGCGTAAGTCCATCAAAAGATTTGCCTCTATTTTTTTTGCATGATCTATTCCAGAGGACATTTTTGAAACACTGATGTCATTCAGGAAGAAACAAAGAAGCAATATCTGTGGATGTTATTCACAATTTTAAATACTATATTGCTAAAGAGTAGCATTTTATAATCATTAGAAAATAAATAATGGATATTATCATATTTTGTTTCTACAGCCACTCTCGAAAAAATCTTGCACAAATTATTATTCTTTTTAATCTAGGAGAAGTTCAGCTACTGGCCCAGACACAAACAATCGGCGAAGGCCAAGAGGCATGAAATTCCTGACAAGCACACTTGGGGCCGACATAGCATTAGAGTGTTGAAAGTGACTGGTAAGCTTTATATACCAATAGACAGTTGTTAACTGGTGGTGGAGGGACAAGCACGGAATGTTCCAGTCCAGATGGATTTTAAATGCTATTGAGGGAAGAGTACCGGTAACTTATTTTCTTCACGAAATAGCAATCCATGATTTTCCCAACAGCAAAGCTACGGAAAAGTTCTGTTTTAATTGACATGTAACAGTTACAGTGCCATGTAATATAAAAAAAAATATTACATGACAGCTCATGTACTAAATTTAACAAGTCAGAAGATAACATCTATTATCACCTGACTTAGTAAATACAGTACATGAGCTGCCATGTAATATCCATTTTGGATATAACATTACATGGCAATCATATGATTAAAACAGTTAACTTTTCTTCTGGAAAAATCATGGAATGTTCCCCTCAGGATTTAAAATGCTATTTCGTGAAGAAAATAAGTCCCCCGACTACCGTCTAATGACTTATTTACTCTTCCCTCAAAAGCATTTAAAATCCCTCGGGAGTGGAATATTCCATGCTTCTCCCTCCACCACCAGTTAGCAAATGTATATCATCCCACCCCTTATTACAACATGTAAGGTTTTTCATGAGATTTGTTACAAAACTTTGATTTTTAGGCAATTGAAATAGCTCCCAAACCACATTTTTTGTATGCATATTGTTTTTATATATCTTGTTCTCAATTTCGTCCCTTAATTTTATTTTTTTTAGTTCAGATGATACATTATTTAAAGAAATAAATTTCCAATAGCGTAGATTAAAATAAGTTAAAGATTGATTTGTTTTATTTTTACTACAGGCAATTATGTGAAAGCGCAAAACATCGCCAGGAAGGCAGAGGACACGTCGAACCTGGAATCGGAAGATGATGCTGTGCAGAAACGGATTAGACGTCTTCCCCAGAGATTAAGAAAATCTGCATCAAGTGATTCAGGAAGTGACGCTGGTAAATATTTGTCTCTTGATGGTTAGTAGTGCTTGGCTTGGCCAGAGACGTATCTTATTTCTCGTTCTCACTAAAGAGTCTGCTTTTCTGCTTATCCCTCAGATAGGAGAGAAACATCCATTTTGCAGCTTCTAATCATAATTTATTGCAAATCCTTTATAATTTACACCTACTATCACAGATAAATAAGAGTGCATTCTTCCTCTTCAAAATCCAACAGGTGATGAAAACCTAAGATAATTTATTTGGGATAGCTAGACCTGCTTTGTGTCCCAGCCATGCAAAATGATGATTGACAGATGTGGCACCATTCCGGCAAAACTGAAAATTAATTTGTTATCTAGGCATAAATTTCGGACAAGAAGTTTGCATTGTCCAAAAGCCTGTTCAGGTTTTGAGATTTCTTGTCGTGTCTCAATATTCCTTTTAACATCTGCAATGTGTCTCTGTCTTTCAGATCTTGAATCGGACCCAGAAGAAGTACATGTACGCGGAGAAACGACCAAGGCTGTGGCAGCGTAGATACCAATGCCGAAACTGAATGCGAAGTCCAAGTCCACATCGCATTTTTCAGTTGCATCCACCAGCCAGGCATCCACCAGCTCCGGCAATCAAGGCAGCAAGCCATCCACCAGCTTCACCTTGCCCTTGTCATCCTCGTCCCCGTCCCAATCCACAACTCCAGCAAGGGCTCGGGCTTCGGAAAGTAAGTTTTTTCAGATAACATTTCTCAAAAGAAAGTTTCTGAGGGTTTTTTTAATCATAAGAAGATATACCGTAGAGCGTATAAACTACAAACAACGTTTGCTGTTTTTACTAAGTTGCCACACTAAACTACTGTTAGATTGGATGAGAGAGACAAATTATTTCAGCATACATGTAATTTATTTTATCAACAAGACATGGGTATAGTTTTTTACAGAAGAGGTGCTTTTAAATCCTAACAGTATGTGATGCTTTGTTTGAAGCGCTGCACAGGTGTCGTCTTTGAAGCTGGGTGATATATTCCCGAAGTGACAAAATAGGACAGCTTTCAAACAAATCTCGCCCAAATATCCTATTCATTTGCTGTCAAAGTTTTTAATGACTTAAACTGTTATTATAATGCATTTTTGTGTCTGTTTTGTTTTTTCTCAGGCAATTTTCAAGTGCAGGTACTGTGTACGCTGCAGAGGCTGGAGGAAGGGGTACAGCAGCTAACGCAGTTGATACAAAAACTGTTTTTGTCAAAATCGGGAGTGGCTGTTGATGTGGAAGACCTGAGGGAGCCATTTACACAACCAGTGGACACCGAGGATGAGTTTGAGGCTCTTGCATCAAAGCTCGTTGACGTGGAGTTTAGGAAGAAGATGGTAAGTTTAGAAAAATTTGAATTGTAGTGTTAAACATTATTTGATCATCCATTAACCCCATCTTAACTGGGAGGGGGGTCGATCCCCGTCGACTTTTCGCACGTTAATTCTGCAACGCACACAGATATTGCTGCTCCACTTCAACAGATCGTTAAAACATGAACGCGTCGCTAATACTTCAATGAATCTCCATACAAAATTTTGCATTAATCCGACGATTGGTCTTGGGGGTAAGGTCAAATTGACTCCCCCCCCCCCCCCCCCCCAGGTTAAAGTGCAGGTTTGTTTTCCACAAGTACAGTTATTGTTCAAAGCCAAATAAAATAAAATAAAAGTAACATAAATAATTTTTCCAACTGAATTGTCTTCAAGTGTGTTTGTTACCAGACCTGCCAGAGGGACTATTACATTGATATCCAAAAGACAATATCGCTTGCATTCCTTGAGTGCGAGTTATGTTTAAATCTATAAATCCAGCAAATATCAAGCCCATTAGATAAGGTATTTTGATCAAGGCTTGTGTAAATCTTTAACAAAAATAAGATGTTACTGCATCATTGCGAGGTTTTAGCAGAAGAGACTTTCAGCGTACTGTATGTAAATGAGAGGTCTAACTTCCATTTATGGGAGAATCTGCAACAATGTAACTAGCAAAAGTACTTTTTATTTTCAGATTCGCTACCTGAGCTTAGTTGGCGGAGGTGATGTAAATCAAACGGTAAGGAGAGTTTTGAAGAAACTTGGCACAAACTCTCTCTGGTCGCATTTCAATGTACTGGGCAGGAAGGGCAAGCGTGGAATGAAGACGACCGCATTCTTTCCCGTTATCGTTAGTAAGTATTGAGATTTAAAGTGATCAATTAGTGTGATTATCTAAATTCAATTTCTCTTCAATATGTTTATAAATCATTGAAGTTATATGCCCATTAATTGGCACGATTAATTTTGTTATTTAAAATCAAATTTACAATGTCCTCTTCAATCAAAATGAGGGCTGGTGGATAAGTAATTTTGCAATCAAATTTGGCATTTTAGACTGGTAAGCATACTGCATCATTCCAGTTGAATCATCTTGAAATACAACTTTGTCATTGAATGTAGAATTTCATTGAAAATCACAAAATTTGATAATAAATGATTCACTTGAGAGCTATGGGCTAACAGATTAAGATTTTTATACCAACACGATATCTTAGTACAATAAAACAAAACACCATCACAAGAATCGAAAACGAACGCTCTTTGTGCTAAAAAAACACAAATGTTTTGATGGTTTCGCATCTTGTGCAAGTTATCATTAGCAGACGATATCTGAAAAATAGAAATATGACCTGAATCTAATTTCATATCAATGAAATACGGTGTGTTATATGATTGACAACATCATCCCATTTTGTGCTGTCAAACGTGGCATTTTTGTATCGGTATAAGGCATCAAGTGAGAACTCTGGTAAACACTCATTAACATAATTATGTTCCTCTGGGTTTGTGCCTTTGCCTTTCAGGGGCATGCATCAAGAATCACGTCGGTGCCAAGGAGAGTGAAATTGAGGAGGTTGTTGGCGATTACCTCAAGCGAACCCCCTTTCTTCCAGGAGGAAGTAAATACATGTACAAGGTAAATCCCCCAACGAGACAAGACGCTGTCATCGAGGAAGCTGTCATCGAGGAAGCTGTCGTTGTGCAAGCTTTGGATGATGGAGAGGATTCTGCCATGGAGAATTGAGTGGTGTTTTCTTCATCATTTGTGACCTTACAAAACGACCATTAAAGGTAAAGACCAGTTTCGGAAACGCCCCCCTCTCAAAAAATGAAATTGAAGCTCTTATTACCAATCATGTGAAAGAATATGTTTTGACTATAATACCTGATCATACAAATTTTGCCGAGAAACCGCCTACTAATTGATATATTTTGTAAATTATTATATCTATTTGGGCCGGATAGATATAACGCACGTGTCGGGCACGTGTCGCGTAGTCCCATATACATTGTTAGTCATAATGGTGGAATAATCATTTTTTTACCCCAATTTATTGAATGATTTTGACAATGATTTATTATTAATAGATCTAGATAATAGTATACATTCTCAGATTTTATTGAATGACAATTGGTGAGTGTTTGTTTTGCGTGACTGCTAAAGCATGTGTGTGCGCTACTATACTAATCAACTAGGGGACCTACGTCCTTAAGTCATAACTGACAGTAATGGGGATTAATACCTCATAAAAGGGCATGAATATAGCACATCGACACGGTTTTGATCCTGGGGGCTCACAGTAACGAGGCCATTGCTTAGCCAATGAATCATGAATGTACGCAGCAGGCGCTAGGGTACGTCGACGCCCCCACAAAAACAAAAAAACAAAGAAAATGCAATAAATTTTCAATAATTCATTGCATTTTGCCCCAACCCCCAACATAAAAAAATCCTCTATGTGGGCATGCCTTGAACCATAATGCATGGCCCTACAGAGGAATTTTTCCTGTTGGGGACTGGGGGAAACTGCAATGAATTATTGATAATTAAATGCATTTTCTTTGTTTTTGTGGGGGCGTCCGCTGCGTACAGTCATGATTCATTGGCTAAGCAATGGCCTCATTACTATGAGCCCCCAGGATCAAAACCGTGTCGATGTGCTATATTAGTGCCCTTTTATGAGGCATTAAACCCCATTACTGTCAGTTATGACTTAAGGACGTAGGTCCCCTAGTTGATTAGTATAGTAGCGCACACACATGCTTTAGCAGTCACGCAAAACAAACACTCACCAATTGTCATTCAATAAAATCTGAGAATGTATACTATTATCTAGATCTATTAGGAATAAATCATTGTCAAAATCATTCAATAAATTGGGGTAAAAATAATTATTTCACCATTATGACCAACAGTGTACATCTTTCTGTGTACAGTGCTTGAAACTTTACCCAGACTTGGCCAAATTTCTTATCATTTTGATGATTCCAGAACCTTGCAGTACACACCAATACTTATGATCAAACTTTTCTGATCGATTCCACAACGTTTCTTTCACAATGCAATCGCATGACCATAACTGGTCTTTATCTTTCTTGGGAAATTATTATGCTGATTTTTAAATCGCATGACAATAGAATTTATTACCTTTAAAATGGTACATAATTGTTCATATTTATGCAAGGCAAACCCTCTGAAAATAAGTGCCTAATGTTTTGAAAATGGTTTTAGCAGTTTAAAAAGAAGGGAGAAATGGGCCACTTCGAATATCAGCGTCCATTCACGCGCTGTAATCCTAAATCTTTATTTGATGAAAAAACATTAGCACGCTTTCTCAAGATAGTCTCATTCAGGAAATACAAAAATCCTGAACTCTTTTTTGTACCAAATTTGACTATTTGTAGCTTATAACTGAGAAACTTTATCAGAGACATATAACAGTTTTGTTGGTGCATCTTTTTGGATTTAATTGCCAACATCTTGTGAGAATGCAAGACAAAGTTGTATACGTCTGTAAATATATTACTTTTTGTATTAAAGGATGCTGAAACCAAAGTTGCTATGTGTGTCCTCTAAACTCTCGACACTGATATACATGTATGTTCTGTAAATACATTACTTTTAGTAAGGATGCTGAAATCAAAGTTGCTATGTGTGTGCTGCTAAATTCTTGACACTATATTTAGAACCTTGTCTTCTATATTCATAGACCCTTTAATTTGAGAATTCATATTTGCCTGTTAGCAATTCATATCTTCAACTCGTTTCTATCAGTTTATTGTAAATAGCTTTTTGTAGATTGTTCATTTGTTTTGTGTTAATTTCATATTTGAAGTAAGATGCAAGGTCCAATGCAAGGCTTCTGGAATAACTTGGAGCACAAATCTCGACCTGACCACTAAATCTTTGGTCGATTAAAAGGACATTGTTTTACTCAGATTTAAGGGGGAAATCTACCCTAGAAATTTCACTGCTTCAATCAAAGGAGATAAATTTGAACAAAATTTTTAAAAAAAATGGGCAAAATCGGTAAGGAAAACAAAATAAGGAAACTACTCTTTTATTCAAATTGGCAATGCTGATGACATCTTAAGTAGCTCTCAATTCACTTTGTACACACAATTTCACATTTCCTTACCCCCATAGTCAAAGTATGTTGTGTAGAAAGCTATTCGTCATCTGAATATACTCTGATTAATAGTTGAGGAAATGTGTACCGGTAACTTTAAGGACAATTTATAAAATATGAAATTTTGTGTACATAGATGATGGATAGCTACTCACAGTTGATGTCATCAGTGTTGCCAATTTGCAGAGCTGAAACAAGTGTAGTTTCCTTTTTTTGTTGTTTTTTTTTTGCCGTACTTTCTGTTGAAATGTGACTTCTTTAAATGAGTCACATTTTTATCACTTGTAGAAGTTGATGAGAAATTAAATACATGTACTCTTTTGAATACCGTAGTTATAATTTGCACCGGATGATGAAGCTGGTCCTGGGTGGAGGCACATAGCTAAATCGGTAATCACATGTATTTATTGATAATTTTATTGATAAAGGTTCTGTTGAATTGTTTCACATTGATATAGTACACAAAATAATTCTATGCACTATTTGGTTTTACCATAGATCAAGACTTATTATAGAAAGATTTCTTTATCATTTGCTGGGACACCTTTTTGGCATGAATTGCCAACATTTTTTGGAGAATGCAAGACAAGTTATAGGTTCTGTAAATAACTCATATTGCTTTTAGTAAGTGTGTTACCAAAGTTGCTATATGTGTGCTGCCAAATTCTTGACACTATTCATTTTATCTTGCCTTGTATATTCATAGGGACATAAACCTGTAAATATATGAGTAAATTGAGTATTCATATTTGCCAGTTAATGACATATCTTCAACTCATCTATCAGTTTATTGTGTATTATTTGAAGATTGTTCATGTGTTGACACTATACGTTTATATCTTGCCTTGTATATTCATATCGACATAGACCCGTAAATATATGAGTATTCATATTTGCCAGTTAATGACATATCTTCAACTCATCTATTAGATTATTGTGTATTATTTGTAGATTGTTCATGTGTTATGTATCTATAGTTTTAAAGGGATAGTTTAGTATTGATCAACCTTAACTTTAACACCAAAACCTGCACCATCATGGTGCAAAGTAATAATTAAAAAAGACTCAGTAAACCCCTGTTATTATTCAAAATGACCCGTTACTTTGTGCATTTAAAGTTTGTTAAAATAACAATTAAGTATCTATCAATTACTTTTTGAAAACCTATTCAGATTTGTTTTCTTCAAAGCAGTCTTTAAGCATTTTTAATCTTTTGAATAAAAATATATTGAAGGATATTTCAGCCGTTTGTGAACCGATTTTGATCAAATAACAATTTATTCTGAATATTAGAATTGTATGTTCTTTCGGGGGCACTTCAGGAAATACCAATACCCTTTTTTCAAATATACATGATGTACCTCATTGCTAAGCCTTTGTACATATTTTTTAAATATGTTTGATAATAAATTCATAAAATCAATCAAATACATGTGTGACCTAGCGTTTATTAAAAAAATTCACTGTATGATGGACGTTCTTAAAAGGTTTTCTGAACGTTCTTAAAACGTTTCCAGGACGTTCTAGACGTTTTTAAAAGGTTTCTTTGAACATTCTTAAAACGTTTCCAGGACGTTCTAGACGTTCTTAAAAGGTTTTCTGAACGTTCTTAAAACGTTTTCAGGACGTTCTAGACGTTTTTAAAAGGTTTCTTTGAACATTCTTAAAACGTTTCCAGGACGTTCTAGACGTTCTTAAAAGGTTTTCTGAACGTTCTTAAAACGTTTTCAGGACGTTCTTACACATACTTAAAAGGTTCTCACAATGTTTTCTTGACGTTCTAGACGTTCTTATAAGGTTTTTGCACGTTCTCACAACGTTCCCATAACGTTCTAGACGTTCTTAAAAGGTTTTCTGGATGTTTTTAAGGTTATTAAAACGTTTTTAAAACGTCCCAAACGTCCGACAGGTTTTCTGCAGGTTCTTGCACTTAAAAGCAAATCTATAAAAGGTTTTGTGTTCGTTCTTAAAACGTTTAGAAAACGTTCAAAAAACGTCCATTTGGAACGTTCCAAATAACGTTTTCAACCTACCACAAATAGACGTCTTTAGAACGTTTAAACAAAACGTTTAGAAAACCAATTTGGAACCTTTTTAGAACGTTCAGAAAACGTCCAATTGTTAAGTGCGACTTTTGATAGTGGCCGTGACTGGTTGAAGGTGTTCATCCTCAACTGGAAAAGTATGATCCAGCAGTGGATAGGAGGAAATGGGAGAATCCCTGAAAAAGCGCTGAAGATGTCCTAAAACGTGCTGCAAGGACTACTGGTGGAGAATGACGAACTCTTCAAACCAGGGCTGGGTTCGCTAAAAGGAGTTGAAGTGAGCATTGACATCGACCAAAATGCCTCTCCAAAATTTGTAAAAGCGAGACCAGTGCCGTTCGCAATGAAACCGAAAGTGGAGGCTGAACTTGAACGGCTAGAGCGAGAGGGCATCATTGAACCGGTCCAGTTTTCTCAATGGGCCGCCCCATTAGTACCGGTTATGAAACCGGACGGATCCATCCGGATCTCCGGTGACTACAAAGTCACAGTGAATCAAGCGTCAAGAGCGGTTACATATCCAATACCACGCATAGAGGAATTGTTCGCGAAACTTGCTGAGGGAGAGTGCTTCACTAAGCTAGATTTAAGCCACGCTTACCAACAGCTAATGATCGACCAGGGATTGCGGGATCTCGTCTGCATCAACACACATCACGGCCTGTTTCGCTATACACGGTTGCCCTTTGGTGTGATCGCCGCCCCATCAATCTTCCAGAGAATCATGGAAAGTCTTCTTGGAGGAATTCCTCATGTCGCGGTCTACCTGGATGATATCTTGGTAACACGAAAGACTCTCGCGGACCATCTGGACAATTTGAAGCGTGTCCTCAATATCCTTCGCGATGCCGGATTACGGTTAAAGAAAGGCAAGTGTGTCTTCTTGAGTCCAGAGGTGGAGTACCTAGGGCATAAAGTCAGTGCACGAGGGTTAGAACCGACAGATGAGAAAGTACGCGCAATCACACAGGCCTCCCAACCGCGTAACGTGACAGAGCTGAAGTCTTTTCTAAATTCCTTCCAGAGCTCGCAACAATCCTAGAACCTCTACACCATCTCCTCCGGAAAGGAAGCCGCTGGTCATGGACGGCGGACCAGCAGAGGGCGTTTGATAAGAGCAAGGAGCTCTTACAATCATCGCGACTTCTCACCCATTTCGACAATGACAAGGAATTGATACTCGCGTGCGACGCCGTACGGGGTAGGAGCCGTGCTGGCACACCGGATGTTGGATGGGGAAGAGAAGCCCTTTGCATATGCGTCGAAAATGTTAAATTCGGCAGAGCGTAACTACTCTCAATTGGACAAGGAGGGGTTAGCCATCATGTTTGGAGTGAAACGATTCCACCAGTACGTATACACATACGGTAGGAAGTTCACAATAGTAACCGACCACAAGCCGCTTCTGGGGCTCCTCGGGGAGTCCAAGGCCATTCCGCAGATGGCCTCGCCGAGGGTACAAAGATGGGCCATTACCCTCTCTGCGTACATATACAAGCTGGTATATAAACCCGGATCCGCTAATTCAAATGCGGACGCACTGAGTCGCCTTCCAAGAAGCACAACGACCACCGAGCCTGAGTTACCAACAGAAATTCTGTCGATGTTCAACATCTTGCAGAGAACCCCTGTCACACCGAAGCGAGTTCGCGAGTGGACAGCACATGACAGAGTTTTATCACGTGTCCGGAAACATGTGATGTCCGGATGGGGACATTCTTGCGAAGATGAAGAATTGAAGCCGTACTTCAGTAGGAGACATGAACTCAGCGTTCAAGATGGATGTGTCTTGTGGGGTACCCGGGTCGTCATCCCCACTAAGGGTCGGGAACAGATCTTAGATGAGATACATGACACTCATCCTGGAATCGTAAGAATGAAAGCCATCGCGCGTGGAATAGTCTGGTGGCCGAAACTAGACTCTGAACTGGAACGGAAGGTGAAGCAATGCTCCGTTTGTCAGCAATATCAGCGCCTTCCACCGCGATCTCCCGTACATCCATGGGAGTACCCGAGTGTTCCATGGGAGAGAATTCACATCGATTTTGCCGGTCCGTTCGAATGAAAAATGCTCCTGATAATCGTTGACGCGTACTCCAAATGGATAGATGTACATGTGATGTCATCGGCGACATCATCGGCAACAATCGATCGCCTCAGACAGACATTCGCGATACATGGACTACCTCGTGTGGTAGTTTCCGACAATGGAAGTTCCTTCACGAGTTCGGAATTCCAAGATTTCATGTCGCAAAATGGAATCAAACATGTGAAAAGTTCACCTTACCACCCCGCTAAAAACGGACTGGCAGAAAGAGCGGTACAGACGGTGAAATCTGGTCTCAAGAAAGTCACAGGAGGTAAACTCGAAACTCGCTTAGCGCGCTTCCTCCTGGCCTATCGGACAACAGAGCACTCCACCACTGGAATGCCGCCAGCCGCCATGCTCATGAACAGACAGTTGAGAACCAGACTGGATACCTATATCCAGACGTCAAAAATAAAGTTGACGAAAAGCTGAGAAATCCGGCCGCGCTGAACCGCGGACCTCAGACTTACCGAGAATTCCAGACTGGTGAGCTGGTTTTCGCCCGAAATTTTGGCATAGGAAACACTTGGATGCCGGGAACGGTTACGGAAAAACGCGGTCCGGTGTCCTACGAGATCGAACTCGAGGACCGCGGTGGAAAATGGCGACGTCATGTCGACCATTTAAGAAATCGTTATCAGAAAAAGGATGAATCTTCCGCGTCGCGTCCGAATTCCGATGACGAGTTCCTTTTTCCTGAGGAGGGCGAAGCAAATGACCGTCAGGATCATCAACATCGCGATGACCACCAGGATCGCGAGCACTTCGACGATGATCACAATCACAGGGATCGTAATGAACATCAAGATCGCGATCAACAACCTGAAAGGAGTAAATGCCCACAGCGCCCTCCCGATTATTACGGGTTCCCATAAAGACTCTTAAAAGGAAGGACCCTTAAATAAATGGAACTTAAATTCCAAAATAAATCAAATACTTCACAAACGAAGGAACGTAACATTTCTGGACTCATGAACGTTTTCGGATATCAACATGTTACTTTTTATTTGGACTCACAAGTTTCTCAGCAATGATATAGTTAATTTACGATAACACATAATTGTTTCATGGAATGTATTTTCAGTCTAAAGGGGGAGGGATGTTATGTATTGGCGCATCTGCGCATGCGCACAATCAGACAGTAACTTGATTAAACTACTTGAACACACACTCTGATTCCCTGTCTCTTTTCATCTCCGTCTTGGCCTACTTTTAGTAAGATGTTATACTAAAGAGTAGGTAGTCTCATTAACTAGTTCATATATAACAGTCAAGAACACAGATGTTATTCTTGATTTCATATCCATTTCAATCATTTTAGACTTGATCGAAATACCTCAGAGAATCTACATTCGCTCTCGGTAGCATGTTTACATTTTGTTTGACCAAACGAGACTGAAAAAGAGCGAATATATTTCTGTCATCATAGTGGACAAAGTAATTGTAGTATTATAATGAGCAAAACAGGAAATAGATAATACAGGAGATGGAAATGTATTGGCATCTACTGTACCTGAAACTAATGCAAATATGCATTTTTAATCTATAGGCAATAATCACTTGGGTGTCACCAATGAGGGGAAGACATTGCTTTTCAGTGAAGACCAGCCTATGGAGGGAGTGACAGGTAAGACATTCTATATTCACTTTTGCTCCTGCACCAATAATTGTTCAGCGTCACTGACCATATTCTTAACTTCATCCATGGACCCAACATGATATACTTGTATCTGTCCTTAACCCTAGAATCCAAAACCTAACTTAAAACCCACTTGCAACCCAAACCCTAATGCTATACATGTGATGAAATAAAGCCCGGAGCAATTGTTGTGGTAGCAAATGTCTGGTCGTATTCACTAATGACGGGAAGACATCGTTAATAGATCATTATCAGCCTATGAAAGGTGTTGCAGGTAAGACATTCTATATTATTTTACCATCACTTCAGGGAGGATTCCAAGTCAGGATGTGCTTCTTAGATGTTTGATTCACCTAGCATAACTGCCATGATTGCTTCTGATGAACGTCCAATAAGATAGACATTATATAGTCTTCTGTGCTATTTAATGACACCATCAATGTTCTAGTTTTTATGTTGGCCTCTGTTTTGGGGCCATATCTTTCCCTTTTTTCCTTTTTTTGTGTGGAGAAGAATTTGTCCAAATTATGTTTTAGTGATGAATCTTTATATGTGTAAAGACACAGTTTATGAATTAGACTGTGACATAGGCAATGTCCTCTTTACAACTAAGCTTTTTGTGACAACATGTTCTTGTTCACGAATGGTTCATGTCGTGTCTTTGTTTCCTCAGAAGTTCAGCTAAATGTCACCCATTCCAACCAGTTGGTGAGGGAAGAAGCACAAGGTAAACTACAAGCTCTCCTAGATGCCAGTTCCTCACAGGTCAGTTTGGTCCCATCCACAGGAGTATCAGCAGATTTTCTAGAGGGGCTTAAGTCATTCACCGAATCGTGTAAGCCTCATTTAGACTTGGTGAAGGACTTGGAGAGGAGCATAGGGAGGAATGGATTCTACAAGGCCATTGGATTGACTTTAGATTCTATTCATTTCTATGTAAAGGTGTATACCATCGAAGGGCTACGTTTGCTTCAAAGTGATGTTCAAAGCGGCCGCATCGGACATCAGCTTGGAAAGGTGCTCGTCTCTGAAAAAACCAAGCAGCAAGTTCTAGATGTTGCGCCTGAAGGAAGTGGTGCTTGGGATCTACTTTCACACGCAGTCACTGACCCAATCCTGTCCAGCACTTGGCTGTCAACAGATTTTGAGAATAGGGAAGCATTGAAAGAAGACAGAACATCATCGTCAGATCTCATGGCCCAACAAGGGCACCCAGTTGTCCAAGCAGCCACTGTCAGAAAGCAGGTTGTCACTCAGGAGGAAGGAAATTCTGGTCTCCTAGCTAGTAGTTCTCCTCTGGCAACACCCGGAGAAGTCGCTTTAGTGGCATCTCATGTATCAATGAGACAGGATAAATGTGGGCCAGACGATGCTATGGACAAAGAAAAAGATTCTGTAACAAGCCCAGAGAAAGCATATTCAGGTAAGAACAATTATATTTACATTGAGCTACTTGTACTTTAACATCTCAAAGATTTGTCCTTATCCCTACATCTTTCACATTGAATTTGACAGGAGGGAAATTTGTGATTAGTTAAGAGGCAGAAAGTTTATTTCAAGCCTTTATCAAACCGACCCTCTGACCCTCCGAACGGTGTAGACGTGAAATTTTTTCGCGGAGCCTTCGCTGTTTTTAATCACCTGAATCTTCGGTTATTTTTCACCATCCGCACCCATCCTCGATATATATGAATCTTCAATAGTGTTTCTTCGATGTTTGATGTTTTTTACGACAATTTGTGATTTTTAACATTGGATATTTTTAGCTAAAACTTTCGCACCCGTGTACATGTATATTCTACGTAGTTGACTGGGCACAGAGCATCACACCGGCAAGCGACGCGACGGAGAGCCGATCTTTCTCCAACGCTCTACTTACGGCAGAGGTCTTGCACCAACCCGCATCGGCTTCCCTAGAAGCTCGCCAGCCCGTCAGCAAATTGTGTTGTTATTTTCGTACTTTTCGATGTATTTTTAACCTTTTTATAATAAAATAAAAAATTGGCCGCCTGGCCTGGCCGCCATTTTTTACAACCATGCATTCTCTACGTACGCTAACTACCTTAGCCGTCTTCTTGCTTTCTATGTGGATTGAACAGGAATATCATCAATTTGATGACAACATGGAATTGATTCTGCGCCATAGTAACCCAATAAACAAAATCACGTGAAAATCACGTCAATATCAAGGTATCGACTTGAGGAGAGTTACGTTCTTCAAACACCGGACATTTACGTAAATGTGTTAATACGTTTATTGCACTAGGTCACTTAAAACACACGTACACTAAAATCACGCAATTGTCACTGCAATATCACCATTATAATAACGTGATTATCCCTACCTTGGAGACCATGGTTTGTAAACCTAATACTCCCGTGTTTGTTTGGTTTAAATTACATCTTCATAAACGAAATTATCACGTCACAGAAACACGTGAAGCGTTAGTGATAGTTTTAGTCAAAATATCTGAGTGAAATTCACGTGAATATTACGAGGCTGAATTGAGATGAATCATGTTCTTCATTCACGTGAAATTTACGTCGAAGAGGAAATATGTTACTGTAACCCGCGTTCAACCCAATAATTACGCAAATGTTACACAATAAATGAACCAAAATAATGACGTTCTCATCCCGTTTCTGAACATCGTGTTTTGGATCTTCTATAATTACATCCATGCGCGCCGGAAGCAGTTTGGGATTAGAGGGGTTGGGGGGGGGGGGGGTGCAAACATCCCAGAAGAGAAAGCTTGTTGCAACTGGTCCAGCTGATGAACCAGTTAATGCCAACTGGTAACCCTGGAATTGGAATGGGCTAAATGATCCAGTTGATCCAGGCCAGTTAGAATTCAACTGGTCTAGCTGAACCATTAGAACCATTTGGTAAAACTTCCAACCACTTAAACGGCAACAACACTTCAATACTGGTACGTCTGTATTTCCAATGTAAAGGCATTGGTAATAAGTAGACTTACCTAATTTAATTAATTTTTTCATATACTTGTATTTTGTTGAAAGTATTTTAGTTCATAGTTAATGTTTCCCTTATTCATGTTTAATGAAATGTAATTTAAACGAAGTAGCGAAATGTCCTAATAACTGGTAATTTATATTTGTAGTATTTTCGAAATGAATTGCATATATTAACTAAATCATTAGTAATTAAGAAATGTGCTGTAAATTCAGATAAATTGTTAAAAAACATAGATCGGCACGCACCCCATCATATTCAATATGCAAATTAATTGGTGTCAGCTTGTTCAACTGGAAATATGCCAACAGTCAGTCATCAACTGCATGGTGCAACTGGAAATATGCACACAGACCAGTTATC